GAAAAAGATAAAAATAATTGATGAGGCGTCTTGTAAATTAACAAATTATAAAATATAGAAACAATTCTCTGAATGACCAATTTAGCACACTTCAGTAACTCATTAATTGTGTAATCATGTATTTTAATTTTGAAACTGACAAAATAAATAACTTTTTAAGATCTACAACTTTTATTTTTTTGTTTTGTTTTTTTGACTTAGCACGAGCTTTTGAAACTGTACATCATCCAATAATACTGGAAAAACTTTATCATAGTGATATTAGAGGAACTGCGTTAAAGTGGAATCACACACCTTTTTTATCGAAAAGGTTTCAAAACAAATTAAGGTCAATGTGAATGGGAATATTTATTTTCTTCAGCAGAAAATGTGCTCTCCGTAGTTCCACAGGGAATATCCTTGGTCCTCTTTTATTTTTGAATTCGTCATTAATTTAATCAACTGATACAAACGATAGCTCAACATGTTTGGTTCGGAATCGATTAGATAATTTTTCTAATGCAATAAGCGTTCGAGCAGAACACGTGGAATAGCAATCAGGCTATTATGTCACTCAATTTGCTGACGATGATACAGTTGCACTAAATTCAAATAATTTTTTTCATGTAGTACAACAAGCTAACTGTCTTGCAAAAAGTATGACTCATTACTGTTTAAATAATGCAATAATCTTAAATGGATCAAAGATCAATATGGTAACCTTTTCATCTTCTACTATGCAGATGAGTCCATTAGTAAAACTTGACAATGGGTCAGTGGTAAAATAGCCACTCCACTAAGTTGTTAGGTGTTTACTTGGATTCTAATTTGTCTTGGAGCTCTCCCGTTGATTATGTAGTAGGAAGATTGTAAACTGTTATGTTCTATGGCAACTTAGGAATTTTGTCTCCCTGAAATCTTTACTATTTTGCTCATGTGCAGTAAATTTTGCAATACTGCTTAACAATAAAACACAGAAAACTTTGTTTTCAAAACTTCCACAAAATTTATTTTAAACTCTTATCACTACAGCTGTTTCGGCTGATTGCCTTCTCAAGTGATCTATTTTTTGGCAATCGTTTACACTTTATAGTCTCTAATACAATAGGTTGAGAAGGGGAGAACTGTTTGTCTCAAGTTGGTCATTCAGAATTATATCTGTTTTTTAATTTGTTGATTTCCATAGATTCTAACAAAGATGGCTTAAGGCCATTTTTTGAATGTGAAAGCCCTTTTATGTTCTGCTATTCGTTTATTAAAATTTCTACCAGTTTGACCGATGTAAGTTTTTGGCAGTCGCCACATTTAAGTTTGTACACACCACTGTGTAAGTGTTTTTTATGTTAGCTCTTGTTGTTTTTTAATATATTTGCCTAGGTTGTTATTTGTTCTGAAAGCGTTTAGTTTTTTGTATTGTGTGCGAAAGACAAGTTACAAGTTTTAACCCCCAAAACCTCCCCTGGGTGCGCCACAGAAACTCAACAACTAAATATTATAAAAATAAACAAACGTAAACATAAGCGTCAGTTCTATTTATTCTCAAACATACGCTTTAAATTCGACGTAAACAAACAACTAAACTAAAACTAAATAAACATAAAAAAGTTACCTGAGGCGGCGTAGACAACACTTCCATACTCATTAACTTCAATGCCAGATTTCTGTACAATGTCCGAAACGACTAATTTTCTCAAAATGGTGCTATCTCCTCTGGCAATACCCGGGAAACTGGCCGTGTTTTGAAACATTTGAAGTAAACCAAACTGAAATTAGTTTCTATGAATATTCATTGACTCAACGTTGGGTTTTTGTTAAATGTGTTTTCTAGCGTGTCACTCCTTTATGGTAAGAGGAGAGTAAAAATAGAACAGTCTATTGGTTAGAAAGTATATTTATGGGGTTTTTGTAAAAAATACCTTATGTAAAAAATTTTTGCAGCTATGTACATTGTTTCTTTATATAACGTATGTCTAAAAGCTTTGGCACAACATTCATTGGCTTCAATATTATAAAAAACCAAATAATATACAGATTTCTAATAAAAAGTATCTTACTGGGTAAAATTTCGGGCGTAGGAAATTTCGACACTAAGCAGGTAGCGACTAAAATTTAATGGCAATTTTCGACACCAGCCCCAATTCCCGTTTTTATCTTACAGGTATATTCGACACCAAATAAATATAGCTGCGACATAAATAAAATACCATAATTAATTAATTTATTTATTTTAATAAAAGTAATGTGCATTTTATTTCTTTATAACTGTAATAATATCTAAATATAATACAACTAGTACCTAATTTTTGTACATTTTACCGTTAATATACTTGTATACAATGATTTATTTGCTATTATAGGAATGATAAGATACAGCTTTTATAAAATCTAACCTACGTATTTGTTGGGATCGTAGTTTATCCATCATTTTCTCCAAAAATGCCAATTTAGCCTTAACAGTAGTATCTTTGATTTTTGCTGGTATATGTAAACTATTTATTTTGACATAAGTGTCTACTTGAAATTCTTTTAACTTTTCAATAAAAATAAAAATAGAAGGATGTGTTGAATAAAAAGAAGAATTAAATCTCGAATGAAAGGATTCACAGGCATTTGTGGTCCTCGCAATAGACGGATTCTGATTAGACCATATGTGTGGTGGAAATAGAGCGCTATCGAAAATGTAATTTTCCAGTAAATAATCTGCATATATATCAAGTGTTGCGTTTATAGGTTTATATGACATTAAATCATAAAGAAAGCATTCTTCAACTTCTGCTGGATTTAAATAAGTTAAACCAAACGTATGCCTTAACCATTTTCCAATTTCTGAATTCTTATTCATGTATCCTTATATTCTTGTACCAAACCCAAAGATTGAATTTTTTTAAACCAGTTTTGGTTGTAAGTGAAAACGGCATCCACTAATTTTTGCATTGGGCCACATATACAATAAAGCACAGTGAATTGCTTTTTCAAACTCCACAAATATTTCAGTTGGCTCTAATGATAATTGAAATGTTTCAAAAATCTTAGACCTTAATGAAGAAAATAAATTTTTGTATGTCATTGACAATTTGTCCTTTAACAAACAGTATGCTAAAGGAACATAATGTCCATTTTCCAAGCCGTGTATAGTAAATAATTGTAGAAAATATTTGGTACTGTATGAAAATATACCATCCATATACAAAGTTTTTAATTTACACAACAAACGAATATTTAATTTCCACTAGGAAACTAAGTTCCTGTAGCTGGCTGTATACCATATATTACAAAAAATTTATTTAAAATCCTTTATAAAAGGTATATAATAAAATGCCCAAACGGGCTATCACAAAGATATTGCAAAACGTTTTCGGATTATTAAATCCATCATCAGTGCAAACGAGGTATACATGCTATGAGCCACCAAAATATATGGGTCCAAACCCTTTAAATGATACAAATTTACATATAATACATATAATGTAGATCAAATGTAAATTTGAACGAAAGAACGTCAAACAAGAAATAAATTACAACTGAAATAATTTAGTCACAGTACACAAGTGCCACGCCCCACCGCGTGACAATAAATATTGGGAAAACCCGTTTGTCCTGCTTGGGTGCAAATGTCCATCGCCGCTAATTACCTACCTACCTGCTTTATGCCGCGGTGTCGAAATTTCCTATAATAAAATTTGACCCTTCGATTACCCCAGGTACAAAGACAATTTTGGTGTCGAAAAGTTCGCCCGCCGAAAATTTCATATCTTAAAATTTTAATCACTCATATGTATGACTCATAATTTCAGATGTTTGAGTAATATTTGATGTATACTTAAGATTTTCAGAAATATATTTTTGTCATAATTCCAGTTTTTTAACTGGAAATCTGGTAATCCTGGAATCATTCCGTTTACCCCATTTGTGCATCATATAACCGCATCTGCCATGTTTGGTTCTGATTCGGTTCAACATAGTCCATGTGTTGCGTGGTAAGTCAAAACCTGGTGGTTTTTGTGTGATGCAGGGTAAGCTGCTATTTTGTTGTTCCATCCATTCTCGAGTCCAAGTGGTCGTTAAGTTGAACTCATTTTCCACTGCAATCTCTGCTGTTTTTATTGGCGGTCGCCTGGAGCGCAAACGGTTACCGTTGGCAGCATCTATATCTTGATGAATTGGCAGGGTCTCGTTGCTAAGTATCTTTTGGTACTCACTAGTGAGGGAGTGTATACGCCGTAGTCTGGGTGGTGGAATGTGGCTCAGGACTGGGAGCCATTGCGTAGGGGTGGATTTGATAACACCAGCAATCATTCTCATTGTGTTATTCAATTGGGCATCTACTTTGTGTGTATGTGGGCTGTTAAGCCAGGCTGAAGAGCAGTATTCCGCGGTTGAGAAAACAAGGCCCAGGGCAGATGATCGCAAGGTGGAAGCCGATGCTCCCCATGTTGTGCCGCACAGCTTCTGGATGATGTTGTTTCTGGATTTAAGTTTTTGCGCTGTTTTTGACAGATGTTCCTTGAAAGATAGAGTTCTATCAAGAGTCACCCCAAGGTACTTTGGTGTTTTATTGTAGGCCAGTGTGGTGTTTTCGAATTGGACGTTCAGTGTTCTTCCTGCAAGCTTGTTAGTTAGGTGAAAACTGGAAACCTCTGTTTTGGTAGCGTTTGGTTGGAGCCTCCATTTACGGAAATACTTTCCCACTGTGTGTAAGTCTGCCGTAAGGATTTCTTCTGTTTGTTCAATTGACTTACACCTTGTTGCAAGGACCCAGTCATCGGCGTAACCAAACTTCCTTGATCTGGTTTCTGGTATATCAGCGATGTACAGGCTAAAGAGAAGAGGAGCTAGGACAGATCCCTGAGGCAGTCCATTCTTCAGTTTTCTTGGGGTGCTGATGTCGGTTCCCATGACTACTTGAATCGTTCGGTCGGCTAGCATGCTGTTGATTATTCGAGCGGTGGATTTACAGGAGATTATACGGAGGAGCTTGTATATCATGCCTTCTCTCCAGACTGTATCGTAGGCCGCTGTTAGGTCTATGAATGCGGCTGCAGTTTTAAGTTTTCTCTGGAACCCTGCCTCAATAAATGTGGTAAGTGAAAGAACCTGATCTGAGCAGCTTCTTTTCGGTCGGAAACCTGCTTGATCAACCGGTATCGATTCAAGTAGCTTTGGACTAATTCTGTTATAGATAAGTCGTTCTAGTAGCTTAAACGTTACCGATAGTAGGGCTATTGGTCTGTAGTTCTTAGGGTTGCTATCATTTGGTTTCCCTGGTTTTAATATGGCAATGATCTTTGAGTGTTTAAGTTCCTGTGGTATGGTATCGGTCTTCATAATATCTGTGAAAAAGTAGGCCATCCATTCCCTCGCATATTTGCCGCTGTTATTATAGAATTCAGGATGAATATTGTCAAAACCTGGGGCTTCACCTGGCTTTACATCGTTGAGAGCTATAGTGACTTCTTCGCAAGTGAAAGGGCGAGAGTATTCGGTTTCTGCAGATTGGAATTTAAAAGTTTTGAGCTCTCGTTTTACCTTGATTGTGTGTGGCTTGTCTTTCGGGGCCCTAGATGTCGATACCAGATGTGAGGCAATAGTGTTTGGGTTAATTGTTGTTTGATTCCTTGTTATGGGAGTTCCGCTTCCTAATTTTCTTATTAGTATCCATGCTTGCCTACTTGATGATTGAAAATTAAGACTTTCTACAGTTTCCGTCCATTTTTGTTGTCTCGCTGCATCTAGGCTATGGAGCAGTTCATCGGCTAATACTTGATCGCCGCTTTCAAGGAAAGTTTGGTACAGTTCTTCGCTGTTATGGGGCCAACCAGGAATGTATTCTTTTCGGTAGCATCTTGGTATATGATTTTTGGCCGTGCTTATTACAGCTCCAACGAATCTTTTGTAATTTCTGATGGTAGGGGGTATCCACCCCCCCTAGAATCCATTTAAGACGACATAAGGACTTCTACAAGGCTGTGCTACGTCGCCTACTCTGTTTAAAATATTCTTGGAAAAGACACTCAAACCATGGAGGAGAAAGTGCGAAGGAATGGGCATACCAGTAAGAGACCTATACACCTTAAGTTTTGCCGACGATCAAGTAGTCATCGCACAAGATGAAGAAGATCTCAGCTTTATGCTCAGAAAACTAGAAGTAGAATATAAAAACAATGAAATGGAAGTAAACTTGGAGAAAACCGAATACCTAACAACAGAAAACAAGGATATGAGAAACCTAGAGATAGACGAGGGAAGACAAGTAAATGGAACAGATAAATTCAAGTATTTAGGAACCATAATATCGAACCAGGGAACAACAGAAGAAGATATAAACAACAGACTAAGACAAACAAGAAACTGTATAAGACAACTAAATTCAGTGCTGTGGGATAAGAACATTACGATAAAGACAAAAAGAGGGTATATAATACCCTGACAAGAAGTATCCTGACATATGGGTCCGAAAACTGGACAATAAACAAGAGAAATAGAGGTAGAATAAGAGCAGTAGAAATGGAGTTCCTGAGGAAAGGTGTAGACTTACAAAAAGAGACAGAATTGAAAACGCAGAGATTAAGCGGAGAATGGGAGTGCAATCAGACATAATCGACTATATAGAGGAGAAGAGACTATCCTGGTATGGCCACGTCAGAAGAGCGGACAGAGGACGCTGGATAAACAAAATCACAGAATGGAGCCCGATCGGAAGAAGAAAGAGAGGAAGACGACGAAGGTTATTCAGAGACGAAATCGACGAGGCTATGGAGAAAACAACCCTGCGAGATGGAGACTAGAATGACAGGGAAAATTGGAGAAAACGGTTGAGTGAAGGAAGACAGTGAAAACTGTGGAAATCCTTAGTAGTGGTAGGGGGTATCCAACCTAGAGTCTTTTCCAGTTCCGCAGAAAAGCTACCCCAAATGGCTTTCTTTAGATTCCAACGTGGGCGAGGGATGGATGTGATTATAGGAATCTAGGTTCCCGACTCTAAGATCACTGGGCGGGTGTTGGTTGTGTGGGAAGTCGTCCATTACTTTTTCGAGAGACTGATAGAGGTTGTCCGTTTTTATTAGTAGAGACAAAACATAGGTCAGAATTGTACTCCTTCTTCCATGCTGCTGACATGAATGTAGGTCGGTCTTTGACGTCAATCTTTAGTGATAAATGTTTGTCCTCCGCCCATTTTACTAGTGTATTTCCATTGCTGTTGCATTGTTTATATTTTCACTGTTCATGGTGACTGTTGTAGTCCCCCGCATATATTCACGGGTGCGGATGTGTGTCAATGACTTGAGCTAGCCAGGTATAGCCGTGGTTTGTAGATATTAGTAACGGTGATGCTTCCAATTTTACAAAAAGTAATTAAGTCTATATTTAAAAATACATTTTTTTTTCATCAATACGTTGTTTCGTTTAGTATATAGCTTAAAGGTGTACTTTGTTTATAAAAAAAATCACACGTGTGATTTTTTTTATAAACCAATTTTTTTGATTTTATATTTAAATATAAAAATCTAGACGTGGTAACCATTTCAAACTTTTAAACACCTATAACTAGAAACATAAAAATGTGACTTAAGCACTTTTTGCACTGAACCCTTCAATTAAGAGTTTTTTAGCCGCTGTGATTTTCCCACCTACGATACATAATTAATTTTATAAAATACTCCCCTATATCACCCAGTTGGCTTAAATTTCGTATTTGTGGTAGCATCTCCTGTAAAACTGGAATTAAACCAATATAAACTAGAGTGATAGAAGTTTCGGCTTAACTTCACCAGAATAACATTGACTTCGAACTTCCGTGCAAATATAATTCAAAGTTTCCGTAGACAAACTCACGGTATTTATATAAAAGTTAATAAATAGTTTTGTGTGCTGCTTTTGTAGCCTTAATTATTCGCAAATAATTACACACAGAAAATTATGAGGGAGAAATGAGGGGTTATTATTAAATCTAATCGTTTAAATATAAGAACCAGACTCAACTATGTTTAAACAACTGAATACTGAACACTTTTTATTCCGTATTTAGATATTTTCTCCATTACAAAGGGTCGGCTATTATTTGGGAACATTCATCCCGGTTCCAAGAAGTAAATGTCTGTCTTAGCTCTTACATTGTTAACCGCAAGAAGTTATTTTTTTCCGGACCCCTGTTTTATTCACTTTTTGAAGCGAAGCTTTTATACTGATATATTAAATTTTTTTTATAGTAACATAATTCTAAGGGCCAAGAAATATTTTTTAAATAGGTAAAGAAATAATAAATAAGACTTACTCACAATCAATTTAATTTAACTATTCAGACGACCGGTTTCGCTTACTACAATACGCAAAGAATCTTCAGGTCTCGATACAAAGTTAAATAAATGCTGAAATGATAAAAACCCGTATTAGGGTGTTGTCTAATAAAGATAAACAAATTAGATGTTATAAATTACAATAATTATGCCAATATTACATGTCTGTGGTTTTTTTTAAATGAATAAAAATGAATAAAAAGGTATAAAAAGTTTAAACAGACAAGGTAAGACACACAAATTGTTATAAAATAGTCTACTATGCCGGTACTCTATTAATTGATGGATGGTAGAACATGGTTGAAACTGTCATGTATTGTTGAATGGAGAACTTAAGTCCGCTATTGTAGTTGTTT